AATTGGTAGAATATGGATTTTATTAGTGACTTTTTTTTAAAGATTTTTTTTTTTTTTTATTTGACAGAGAGAGAAAGCACAAGCAGGGGGAGTGGGAGAGGGAGAAGTAGGCTCCCCGCCGAGCAGGGAGCCCGATGTGGGACTCTATCGCAGGATGCCGGGGTCATGACCTGAGCCAAAGGCAGACGCTTAACGGTCTGAGCCACCCAAGCGCCCAATTATTGACTTTAAAGTGCTCGATTAGTAGAGAGGAAGCCGTCTTTTTGGACAAAGGGCAGAAGTTTAAGAACTGAATTTGGTGTTAGGGATCTGTAGCAGCAGTTCTAGAAAACAATGAAACTTGAGCACTAGAGAAACGGACAGACCTAACCTTGAGGAGACAGGAAGGTAAAACCAATTAAGAGTGCAGTTTTTATTTGTGTGCTTTGTTTTTTTATTTCTAGGATAAGAGACCAGTGCATGTTGAAGGCAGAGAAGGAGGAGAGGTTTTAGGGCATTTCCATTAATTTATTTTCTTGATGTTTTATTTGTTAGTCTGCATCATTGCTTCTCTGAGACTAAAAACTCTCCCCCCACAGCAAATTTGCCAGGGCTTTGAATGGTTTCTAGCACTAAGCTATGCATAAAATAGCTCTTAATAAATAATTTCGACTGTTTTCTGGCTCAGGAAAGCTACCCTATATACTAATGTTCGAGGGAGAAGAAAAGAAGGAATTTTTGAGGGAGAGAAATGTAAAATATAATAGGCTTTTTTTTTTTTTGTATATGTCAGAGGGACAAGAATAGTGCCTATAAATCTGGGGAGAAAAACGCCATTGCCATCTGTAGCAGCTGAAAGCCAGCTCTTGAGGACTGGTTTTCCACGTGGGATGGTTTCTTTGATGTGAAGACACATCATTCATCCCAAGTGTTTATTATTAACAAAACATACTACCTCCCTATGATCTCTCCCAGGATGGATCCAAAACTGGATAGAACATATTGCATGCTGTGCCCCTCACACCTTGCTGGATCTCCCTAATTATATACTCATAGGACCTATGGCAGAACCACGATAAGAGATGAACAATGCCTGGTTATCTCCCTCCCCAGCCCTGCACTTTCTCATCTCATGTTGTTGCTGCAGGGAGAGGGGGGAAGGGTATGCCCTTTCTCCTCCTTTATGCCTAGAGACTCTCCCCCTATGAACCTTTCCCCTCCCCCGGGAAGTAGTGGCAGTACTCCCTGAGCTGCTGGAGTACCTTCCACTTTGTACCAGAAACTATTTGTGTATCTGTCTCCCTTGCTACACTATGAGCTTCTCAACAGCAGGGACTGGTCTTTAACAATTCTCCTTGAAGGCCCCAGTCCAGTAGCTGGCTCATGTTAAGTAGTCACACTTCTTGAGCAAATGAATGGATACAGGAATATGACAGAGCTCTGTGAGGTTCCAGCTGCTGACGTGGTTGTATCCCGGTGTTCTTTTTCTGGGCCAAAGGGTTGTTTGTTTCCACCTCTCCATTCCTTTTAGAGACTCTGCCTCAGCAGCTCAAAGTACACAATGGAACAGTGTGCCTTTTAGCAAATAGAGTGAGCAATGGAAAATGCCAAGCATCAAACCTGAATGCAAGCAATGGCATGCTGAATGTAATTCCAAATGGAGAACAACTGACTATTTTCATTGAAATAGAATGAAGCCTTCTGGTAAGGCTCTTATTGGGCTCCATTTCTGGTGATCAGGATTGATAAAGCTAATGCAACAAGGCTCAGCACGCCCCCTGTTGGATTTAACTGGCATTTAGTAAGAAGAAGAACGAGAGAAACTTGAGGCAGTTTCTTAGACGTAGGTATGCAGGGGTAGGGCCCTTTCTGCAAAATTCTCTGTTAAGGAGGCATCAAATGAGTCAGAGATGTATTCACTGGACTATCCCTTGGTTATAATTTGACTCATCCACAAATACTGACATTCCTTTTTGAAGAATAGAAATGTTTTCCTAATGTGAAAGCCAAAATGGCATGGACTTAATTCCTTTTAGCAAGCATGCAACCACAAAAAACAAATCAACCACTAAAACTCCTCTTCAGGGCGCCTGGGTGGCTCCGTTGGTTAAGCGACTGCCTTCGGCTCAGGTCACGATCCTGGAGTCACGGGATCGAGTCCCACATCGGGCTCCCTGCTCGGCAGGGAGTCTGCTTCTCCCTCTGACCCTCTTCCCTCTCGTGCTCTCTGTCTCTCATTCTCTCTCTCTCAAATAAATAAATAAAAAATCTTTAAAAAAAAAAAAAACTCCTCTTCAGCATCTCCCCCACCCCCAATGATGTTTAAATCGTAATTTCTGAATCTCCATTGATAGAGAACTGGCTACGTAAGTATAGTATATCCATACATTGGAAAACAAGTCAGCTCTATATGCAATGATATGGAACAATCTTCATGGTATATTATTAACTGAAAAAAAGCAAAGTGCTGAGCATATATATATACACATACATATATATATCTTCCACAAGAAAACAGTAACTTTTTTTTAAAAACAGTAGCAATTTGTGTCTTGGGGGAGAAAGTAATTGGGCCGACAAGTGTAGAAGGAAAAGTTCTTTTCACTCTACTTCTCTGTGTCCTGTTCACAATCTGTATCTTGTGTGTCACCTGTGAAACAATCTAACCAATTTATTTTTTTTTAAACTTTTTATTTATTTATTCATGAGAGACAGAGAGGGAGAGAGGCAGAGGGAGAAGCAGGCTCCCAAGGAGCAGGGAGCCCGATGCGGAACTCGATCCCAGGACCCTGGGATCATGACCTCAGCCGAAGGCAGACGCTTAACCATCTGAGCCACCCAGGCGCCCACAATCTGACCAATTTAAAAAAGTAAGAACCTGGGGCCCTGGGCTGGCTCAGTCCAAAGAGCACGCGACTCTTGATCTCAGGGTCATGAGTTCAAGTTCCACGTGGGGTATGGAGATTACTTAAATAAGAACCTTATAAAGGGTTAGTAAGGTTCTCTACTGTCACTCTTTTTTTCTAGAAGTCTTATCAATCCTCAATGGAAGCAACTTAAACTGCTGTAGTACATTTTCTCTAATTTTTATTAAAAGATTTTATTTATTTTACTTAAGAGAGAGCGCACAAGCAGGGGGAGCAGCAGAGGGAGAGGGAGAAGCAGGCTCCCCTCTGAGCAGGGAGCCTTATGCAGGACTTGATTCCAGGACCCCAGGATCATGACCTGAGCTGAAGGCAGACACTTAACTGACTAAGCCATTCAGGCAACCCAGTACATTTTCTCTTAAATTCTAAAATAAATTGGTAATCCGTCAGTTCTAACAGATATATATCTGCTAGTCATTGCGGCTATCCCAGACTGTCCCAGATACTGAGCTCTTCAGCATCTTTCTGGCTTGGTTCTCTGAATGGATTGTTGGGGCCTGGAGCCCCACTGAGCAGTTTTTCACTCTTCCTAATGATAATGCATGCCAGACTAGAAGTGACCTTTTGCCAAGACCATCATCTGTCCAGCTGGGGAAACCCAAGCTTGGTTTCCTAACCAGGGAAAAGGTTTGCAGCTTTTCTGGGGGAAAGAGGGCTGGTGCCACCCCAGGGAACTCATAAGTCCAGTGCTGTGCTAGATAGCAAAATAGGGGAGCATGGGCAGCCTCTTTTTCTCTAGACTTCTGAGTCAAGGGTCCTCCTTGGTTCTGGTCCTTGATACCCATCACAGTTGAAAATATGTCTGTAGTTAATCATCGGGCCCGCATACTCGAAACCAGCACGCATGGGTGACCATGTCTGCCTAACCTGTCTCAATGAAAGGTAGAGTGCTAAGGTAGAAAGAGCCAGAGAGCAGTATAGGGACCGGATTTGAGTACCAAACGAAGGCTAACCTGGCAAGTCACTTGCCCTCTCTAGGCCTCCTGTTACTGTGTGTCAAGTGAGGAGGTGGAATTTGATGATCTCTCTCATTGCCAAGGGCCAGTCTCTGGGATCAGAGAGATAGATGCACTCCTAGGTCCCGCTCTGGGAAGTCACTGTGAGCTAGGCCTCTGGCATGGGGGAAACACAGGAAAGGTAATTTTTTTTTTCTAAAGATTTTATTTATTTATTTGACAGAGAGAGACACAGCGAGAGAGGGAACACAAGCAGGGGGAGTGGGAGAGGGAGAAGCAGGCTTCCCGCTGAGCAGGGAGCCTGATGTGGTACTCGATCCCAGGACTCTGGGATCATGACCCGAGCCGAAGGCAGACGCTTAACGACTGAGCCACCCAGGAGCCCAGGAAAGGTAATTTTTAAAGAGCGGTGAGAGATGGGCAAAAGGCTTTACTTCCTATTTTATTGTCCATCTTAGTCCTACTCTGTTAGTATAAATCTAGGAGGAAACTAGAGGAGCTTTGCAGCTCACCACCACTGTGATCTTAATCTAAGTTCTCCCTTCCCCCAACAACCCCTCAAACATTTGTTTTAAAGATCTTATTTTTAGGGGCGCCTGGGTGGCTCAGTGGGTTAAACGTCTGCCTTTGGCTCAGGTCATGATCCCAGGGTTCTGGGATTGAGGCCCACATGGGGGGGGGTTTCTGCTCAGCGGGGAGCCTGCTTCTCCCTCTCCCTCTGCTGCTCCCCCTGCTTGTGCACTTGCTCTCTGTCAAATAAATAAATAAAATCTTTTTTTAAAAAAAGTTTATTTTTAAATCATTTCTACATCCAAGGTGGGTCTTGAACTCACAACCCCAAGATTAAGAGTCACATGCTCTACTGACTCAGCCAGCCCAGCACCTCAGAACCCTTCAAGCTTTTTAGAACAGTGATTAGTAATCTGGCTTTGCGGGAGGTAGAGGCCCCTTTGAAAAGACTGTGGAAGCCATGGATTTTTTTCCCTCTCAGAAACTGGGCACAGGCAAATACAGTATTTTGCATACGATTTTAGGGTCTCATGTTCTACTTGACTCCCCGCTCTAGAACATCAAAGGCTTAGGCACGTTTGTGGGTGAGCAAAAAAAGCGGGGGGGGGAAGGAGAGCCCCACTCTAGGACCTGCTTCCCTTCTCCGGCTCACATTCCTCCGCCCCAGTCCCGTTGCGCGGCCTCCGCTGGCAGCCGAGGCCCTAGTCTCCCGCTCCAACTATTCCAACTATCCTGGGAAGGGTGGGGCGCTCGGCTCTTGGGTCCCCCTCGGTTGCCCCCCTTCCCCACCACCGGTCTCCCCTTCTGCCCCGGTCCCTCCCTTTCTGGGGTGGGGCCAGCCAATGGGCGATGAGACTCCGGGGTTTGGCCCGGGAGCGGGGGAGCTCACCGATTCCCCGCCCCACAGTTCTGGCCACCGTCCCGGTGCGCACGGACGTGGCTCGAGTTTCCTCGGCTCTCTGCTCTTTCTCGCTCCCCCCCCTCCCGCTTTTCCTCCTCTCCTGGGCTTCAGCTCCAGCTCCACCAGGCCGGCCCCGCACGGCTCCGGCTAGCCATGGAGGACACCCAGCTCCATATCATCGAGCAGCCGCTTCCCGGGTACCCCGATGTCGGGGACTCGGGGTCCTCCCCCATGGGGGCGCCAGCGGCGGAGGAGCCGTCAGGGGCCGGCTCCGAGGAGCTGATCAAGTCGGACCAGGTGAACGGCGTGCTGGTGCTGAGCCTTCTGGACAAAATCATCGGCGCCGTCGACCAGATCCAGCTGACCCAAGCCCAGCTGGAGGAACGGCAGGCGGAGATGGAGGGTGCCGTGCAGAGCATCCAGGGCGAGCTGAGCAAGCTGGGCAAGGCACACGCCACCACCAGCAACACCGTGAGCAAGTTGCTGGAGAAGGTGCGCAAGGTCAGCGTCAACGTGAAGACAGTGCGCGGCAGCCTGGAGCGCCAGGCCGGCCAGATCAAGAAGCTGGAGGTCAACGAGGCTGAGCTGCTGAGGCGCCGCAACTTTAAAGTCATGATCTACCAGGTGAGCTGGCGGGTTGGACCGCGCCCGGCCCGCGGTCTCCGGGGCTTGGGGTGGGGGGGGACCTGCCCGCGGTGCGGCGTTCCCGCCAGCCTGGCTTGGCTCGGGGGACCCACCCTCCTTCCGGCGAGCGCCGCTGGAGTGGGGTGGAGCGGGGTGGAGTGGGCGGCGGATTCCTGGAACGCGCGGAGGGGCGCACTCTGCACCCCACGCCTTCTCACCGAGCCCCCTCCCTCTGGTGACAAACTCGCAAAAAAGTTAGGGGACAGGACTCGAGGACGCTCCCCCAGGCAGACCGTTCCCAACTTCGGCTCTGTGAAGTCTCCCTACTTGGCGGAGGTTTTGGGGAAAGCTAGGGGTCCCTGGCGGCCGGTGGGCCCGTTGTAAGCGGACACTGGCGGCGCGGCCCGGCTGTGGGGCCTCCGGCGCTGCCCGCCCGATATAGCGGGTGATTCAGGGCTCAGGCACGCACCGGCGGGGGCTGCGCCAGGCAAGGGACGCGACCGCCAGCACACGCCCCCGGACCCGCATGGGCCTCGGCTGCCCCCGCGTCCCCGCGCTGCGATCTGCCCCGAGCCTCTGGGCACTTTCAGGCCCTTGGGGACGCAGGCAGCGCTCCCGAACCCTCTCTGCCAAATGGAAGTAGGCGCGGGGGCGGGGGGTAGGGGTTATGGGGGGAGCGGGGCGCGACGTCAGGAGCGCAAGAGAGGTTGGCGGGGCAGAATGGACAGCCCCTGCCGGGTCCCGCGATCTAGGCGCGGAGAATCTCCCTGCTGGCCTGCGGACCGCTGAGCAGCCCGCGGACAGTCGGGAGGAGGCTGGCGCGCGCCAGGCTCCGCCCAGGCCGCTTGTGGCTTCCTTTGCACCTCTCCCCGTTTTGCCCACCCGGATAAAAGTGCCATTTTTGTATCATAACCGCAAATAAACCTGGAAATCTCAGTGCTGCTGGTCCTCTTCGCTGCCCCTTCCCCAATCCCATTAGAAGTGGTTCTGAGCTGAGGGCTTGGTGATCTGTGATCCGGTGGGAATGTGCCCAGCCTCTCCTCTCTGCTTCCTGCAGAGGTTGAGGTTCCCACCCCAAGGAGGTGAGGTCATGGGGGCGACGGGGTTAGTGTATGCTCCCTCTGCTCCTTACACTCCCTCAGAAGGGAATGGAAAGAAAAGGAAGCCTAGATTTCCCACACCCTCTAGGTGAGAGAACCTGTCTGGGAGCTGTGGTTTCCCTGACTGCACCAGGCCCTGGTCAAGCTGGGTTCTGAGTGACCATCTGGGATTCAGTGAGGTCCTTGGCTGGGCTCTCTAGGAGGAGCTAAGAGAGATGCAGATGAGGACAAGGGTTTGGGAACAGTAGGCACAGGGAGATGGGTGAGCTCATACCCATCTGAGGAGATGGTGGTGGGACAGAGACAGAAGTGGTGCTTGCCCCCTCCCTCCAATGCCCAGGGACTCCTCCCACATAGCGCTAGAAGCTTCCCCACCAGCCCATAGAACACAGTCTGGTAGAAAATGTTTGTCTAGAGCTGTTTCTACTTAATCTAACTGCTTGGGGGAGTGTGGGTGAGAGAGATTTTAGGGAAATCTGATTAGCACGGGGGGGGGGCACTGCAGGAAGAGCAACACGCAGGGGTCTCCACAGCCTGGTGTATGAGAGGGTTGCCATGAACGGCTTCGATATGCTGCCCTCCTCACTCTGAATATCCCAGACCGCAGAGTGTGGGAAGGTTCTCAGCCTCAAGATAAACCTATGTCAAAGGTGGCGATGCTGAGAGGAGGACAAGTGCTGAGGGAGAAAGACTCCGGGGCAGAGGCCAATGGCAGCTGTTACTGCCTCGCGGCAGCTGGCACACATCTCTACATCGTGCAGCTGGGGGGCCTCTACTAACAGGGTGGCTTTGACTGCATCTGTACTAAACCAGGGCCAGTGGGAGGCAGAAGGTGGCAGTGGAAAGAATGGCTCAAGCTGGGGACCCCAAGCCGCTAAACCACAGGGCAAATAACTAACAAGTAACACGGTTCAAACCTGGAGAGGAGATCAGCAAGGAAAAGATCCCAGCAGCAGGGGTGGGGCTCAGGGAAGCAGCACTTCCCTGAGCTGCAGAGCAGATGTCCAGGTAGGGGGCGAGGGTGAGGACGTGGGGTACTCAACTGCTAAAGGAAAAGCAGAGGCTGCTCCTCTGAGGTCTGCAGGCCTGGGAAGAGAATGAGGTAAAAATAGCTCTGCGCCTTGGCAGACCTAATAGGGAAGCTTGGGGGCGGCAGCATTTATGGTAGTCAGGCTGAGGGGTAGGATGCTTGGGTGGCCAGGCAGAGAGAGAGATCTGGAGAAAGGCCTCCTGGTAGAGTGTGAGTTCTCCAGAGTGGGAACAGGGAAAGAGGACGTTATATTCCCCACTACAGATGTGAGAGGTGATGATGTGGCAATGGGGGCGGGGTGGAAGGGAGAATGAGAGGCGCAGAAGGCCCCAGCTGTGGGATCAGGTCATCTGGCCCCCCATACCTTTTTCACCTTTTTCCTGGAGAGATAAAGGAGGGAATCCCTTGTGTGGCCTCACCCCACATTCAAGGACCTGCTAGACATAATAATTTCATAGGTTAAGTTTGCATTTGATCCCCCCTGCCCCCCATGAAATTCAGCACCTCCCACCCCAGGATATCAGAGCCCTCACCTTGAACCCACTTCTGAGTCATTACTGTCCTCTGGCATTTCCCTATCTCCCTAACAAAAATTAGCAGTTTGGCATCCCATGTTATCAGGTGACACCTAACTAGGCAACAGCTAGTGAGGGAAAAGAACGAAATCTACTAGTAGCGAAGGGTCACTGGACTGAGAACTAACTGCTGGGAAGATCAGGCAGATCATGGGCACTGTACAAACAGGAGGCGCAGTGATCATTAAAGATCCAAATCTTCCAGGGGCGCCTGGGTGGCTCAGTCGGTTAAGTGGCTGCCTTCAGCTCAGATCGTGATCCCAGGGTCCTGGGATCGAGCCCTTCATCGGGCTCCCTGCTCAGCGGAGAGCCTGCTTCTCCCTCTCCCTCTGCCTACCTCTCTGCCTACTTGTGCTCTCTCTCTGTCCAATAAATAAATAAAATCTTAAAAAAAAAAAAGATCCAATTCTCCCAGATAATCATTTGGATATTATTAGTGTTCTTTTGGAATGCGGAAAAGGGGCTAAAATGGAAATAAACATTTTCTGGAGTTTTGATGAGACAGTGATCTACACAAGGACCCATCAGACCTGCTCCAAGTGTTTGAGGATAGGACCAGGAAGCATTTAAGGGATTAAGGGCTCACAGTCTTCAGAAATGAGGGCACCAAAGCTGGAATGAGGGCTTGCTGGCTTTTCCTCCCCAAATCCTAACCTAACCCATATAGCTCTTTCCTGGACTCAAGGCAAATCAGGGCTCTCTTGTTCCAGAACTCCAAACTTTTGTCCCCAAAATATTCCAGTGTGGGGCTCTTGTCCTTCTCCATCCCCTGAGCCTAGTGGCCATGGAAAGAGTGCTTACCACATCCTTCCTCCAAAAAGCTGAGTTTTTCCTGGTCACTGGATCCAAAGCAGGGAGGATATTTTTAGGGGTAATCCTAAGACCAAAGGAAATAATACTCTTCCCTCTGATTTTTTTTTTTTTTAATAAAGTCTGACTATTGTAAAGGTCAAAATCAAAAAGGGATGCAATGGCACAGAGTAAGCAACTGATAGAGAGGAGAGGATATTGTTGCTAGGCAACCAACCTCAGAGATGAGTAGTGGTTTGTTCCATTTCATTGAAGCATACTATTGTGAATATTTCATTATTCTGCCATTACAGATTTTTTTGAGCTGGAAGATGCTTCAGAGATAATCAACTTCAGCTCCTTCATTCTATAGCTGGGGAAGTGGAGGCCCAGAGAGAGAAAGTTACTTGCCTGATGTCACTCAAGTCAGTGGGGGTCAAAGCTGGGGCCAGAACTCAGGTGTACCCCTTCTTCTGCTACATTCTCTGCTCCCCACTTCCTCCTTCCATTCCCAGGCTCTGCAGCAGAAGTCAGTGTGGAGGTTATTCCAACAGAGGGTTAGTTCGGGCTCCTTCATTCTCTAAGGGAGATAGTTGCACTGTCCTGGCATCCGGGCCGCTGTGTGTGTGCATGTGTGTACACATGCGGGTGTAATAATCAACGTTCCTAAGAGTGGCTATAAGGTTGGTGGCCATTAGCTGCTCAGCCTCCTAGTACTGAAGCAAAGGCAATGACCAATGACAGTGGACCAGTGACAGTGGGACAGGAGGGGTACAGAGGGTAAGGCACAGAGCTCCCTGGTTAGTACGGGTATCCCCTAGCATGGACTCTGCATCTGGCTATGAGAGGACCATTTGGCTTTCTCCTCGGCCTCCCTGCCACTCCCCCCTTCTCCTTGTACTCCACAGGGCAGATTGGCACCTGCTACTTGTGTTTTTGTGGCTGCAGGCTTTTACCCACTACTGCTGTCGCTGGAGTCTGGTAGTGCCCCTAACCGTCCCTCTCCCTGACTTCTCATGACCAAAGCCAAGAGTGGCAACTCAGGCCCTCAGGAGGGAGAATGGGAGCTGCTGCTAGGTCTTCCAGGATGCAGGCCCACCTGTCATAAAAGGAGCTTGGTTTTTGTTCCTGATTTCTCTGTGCATCTTGGTATCTGATATCCCAGGCGTGGGGAGGGGGAGGGCTGGCAAGGGAGGCCAGAGGTGGGGACATAGCCAAAGGGAAACAGCCAGGATGTCCCTCTTCCATGCCTCTCCCTCTCCTTATCCGGGGCGGCACCCAGTGCCCACCCTGCCCCGGGGAAATAATGAGAAATAGGATCAGCCGCATAGGACTCTGAAGACACTGGAGTTGTTCGCCTACTCGCCTTCTTTTTCACTCATCAGAGGCTTCCCAGCTACAGTCAATAACTGACCCCTTAGAGAGCTCCTTTTCCATCCCTGAAAGCCTCTTATTCCCTCCAGCCCTCAATAGCATCATCCCATGACCCTGGCTGGGTAGGGATAG